GAAGAAGACTAAGAAAGATATGCCATTTTTGGTAATAAAAATTATAAGACATTCCCTTGCATATCTCTTTGCAATATTTTTTTGTCTTTAACTTGCAATTCTTTATAAGCTATAATATATATATACATAACATACTATATATACTAAAGACAAAATACATAATCTACCCATCAAACTTAGGACCAAATCCCTCTTACACACCTGTTGAACACGGGTTTTATTTTACACACCAAACCTTTCAAAAGTGTGTCAATTACACACTACTTTTGACCAGCCCCTTTAATATTTAATGCGTTGTATACACGCGCTTTATAAATTAAAAAAAAAATAACGATTCTTTATAATTAAAATAGATTATCCGACCCTTTTCTTAATTCCGACCCATGAAAGATCCAACCAGGTAAGTTAAAAACACCTACACGACCAAATTAACAAACATAAACCCATTTTCCAAGTCCTGTTCTTCATCCCTAAAACTATGAAGATAATCTGACGAGAAGACATCTGGTTGTTGCTGTTTCTTCTTCAGTTTTTCAGGTTAGTATTCACATTTTAAGGTTGTTCAACCCTTTTGATTTGGATGGGTGGGTCGAAATAGTTAGGGTTTATTTGGGTATTTCATCAGGAGTAATTTTAGGGTTTAAGACATCTTTATGGGGAATCTATTGTCATTGTCTACTGAAACCTTTGTGTTTTGAGCATGTGTTGTCTTTTTCTTTCTTTATGTTGTTATATGCCCTTTCTTTATTGTCCATTACGACTTCTTTATTCTTTGTTTGCATGTGAAATTGAAACCTCTTGTCTGCTTCTTTCCAGGGACAATGTCTTTCAAAATTGTTACTTTAAAGTGGTATCACGGGGGTGAGTTAATTATTGGCCCTTTTAGTAGATATGTGGGGGGCAGTCAAACCTTGACTTTAGACGTGGATGTAGATAGGATTTCCTTCTTTGAGCTTATGGATTACACTAGGGAGATGGGCCTAGTTAACGTGGCTGAGCTGTATATATGCCCAATGGATAGGATTGACAAGCTGATAAATGTATTGACTGATAAGGATATTTTAGACATTTGCAATCAGTTAGAGGATGGGGATACACTAGAAATATATGTGACTCATGCTGCCCCTATAGAAGTACTTGACCCTGATGAAAATGGTGAAAGTGTGTGTTGTAGCAAGGCTTCTAGTAAAAGGCCTATAGAGGTCCAAGATGATGAAGAGGTAGATGATGAAGATGCTGATGACATACACTGGAGTTCAGACAGTTCTGTCGCTTCTGATGATGGAAATGCTTCTGATGGTGCTACAGAAAACTCTTCTACCGCTGATGATGTTGTTTCTGATGATGCTGGGAAGCAAGAGGAAGTAGACATAGACTGGACATCTGATAGTCCTGATGATGTTCCTGATGATGTTCCTATTGATGTCTTGATGGTTCCTGGGTGATGTTCCTTGATGAGTTGGGTGAAGGTTAGAGAGAAAGCTGAAAGAGAAGCAGCGAGAAAGAAGTGAAAAGCCTAAGGGAGGAGTGTGATATAAACATGGACAAGGCAAGGTGTAGAATGGGTTTCGATGAGCTGCTGTACAGTTAGTAAGGAACATAGGCTATGAAGGTTAGTTGGGACGTGATAAGCCATACTTTGGTTCTGCAGCATGCTGGAAAGGTTTTGCATCAGATGTGGAAGGAAGATGGTTGAAGAACATATTAGAGAACAAGTGGAGGAAAAAAAGAAAAAGAAGAGGTTGATCTTTTGATCCTACTGTCAAGGAAAATCACTTGGGAGTTAGGATGATCTTTTGAAAGATGTTCATCAGTTTTGGGAAGTGTCACCAAATTGCAATTTCAAAACCAAGGTGCAGATTGAGAAGTACATAAATGAGCACACGATTAGGGTGGGGTTAGATGTGTGGCACCATAAGTGAGTGGCTTCTTGCAGCTAGTAAGATTGTGGGTTCCATAAATAAGGTGAAAGAAGTCAATCCAGTGCACAGTGGTATTAACAAACCAACAAGAACAAGTTGTGTAATTTTCAAAGTATAGCGCAAAAAATTCAAGAGCAAATTATTGTCAAACCAAGGTATGAAGTTGAGGAAGTTCAAGAAAATTGATAAAGCAAAAAAACTGGACCTCTATGGTAGGGAGATTCAACATTGCCCACAGGCTTAGAGCAAAGATATGAAGAAATCATTGGTGATGTATGCATCAAGAGTTTCAAAAGGCTCTATGACTTACAGAGTAATGATTTGTGCAGACAAATCCTGGAGTACCTGTGTGTAAAAGCAGAAGATTCCAGGTGTTGGGAAGCTGGGTATCTCTCAAAATCTAGTCTGATTTCCATGCATGAAAAGGGGACTGCGCTGGAAGGAGCAGAAGAATTTAGTTGGCTGCTCTTCAGTTTTTCTGTTTTCATTATGTTCTGCTTCAGTTTCTGTTTTTCAGTTGTTCTGCTTTTATTGTTCTTTTTTGGTATGGATGCATGCAGCGGTTTTTACATTAATGCTGCTTAGAGACTGTTTACCTGAGTGTGAACACGGAATGTGTCTAGGCACATCCTTGCAAATTGGTTCAAAAGAGTGGAGAGGGTTGGAGAGGAGAAATACTTCTGGAGATGTTGCAAGGCTCTAGTATTCAGAAGTTGAATGACCAACTTTGATATGACGTAGACAAAGCTATGGGGATGGAATATGTCAAAGTTTACTCCACATTAGAAAGAGAAACATGGTGTAGAGCTTATTTTAACTTGTAGATAGGAGTGTCGATGTAATTGACAACAATATGTGTGAGACTTTCAATTTCACTGGCATTTTGGCTGAAGACAAAAAACAATCATCACAATGTCTGAGGATATTTAGAATTAAGCTGATGACTAGATAGGTAAGATGAGAGAGTTCTGTAGATGAAATGTGATATCGTGTCGTCATTAAATAGCACTCCCCAAAGCAATGAAAGATTTACCAGGATAATTTAGCCAAGTCTATGAAGTGTATTACTCCAAGATGAATGTGAAACAGGCTATGAGATGTGAGATACCTAAATATAAGCAGTGTGTATCCTTAGTTGACTATGACCTGTAGTTGTAGAGCTCTGGCAGTTTAAAGTGGCACTTCCTTGTTGTCATGGCAATTGCTAGTATGCATTACAAGGACATGGACCTATGTCACCCACATTTGCCACATTGGTATCGTAAGTCCACTTCTTGAAGGCTTATTCAACTTTTATCCAGCCGTCCCATTTATGAAGCAATGGCCATCTTCAAGCCACCCCTTATTGAACCTCCCCCTATTAGGAACATGCGTGGCCAGACCAAAAAAAAATAGGAAAAACGAGCAAAGAACTGAACACCCAAAAATCTGGAAAGCTTTTCAAAGGAGAGTTAGACGATGACTTTGTCTCCCTTTGTGTGTGTGTGGACACAATAAGAGGGAATGCCCAAGTAAAAAATCTGCAGCTGGAGAAATGCTACTGCTGGAGGCTGCTTCATGACGGTACTGCTCTCTACTCGAACTACTGCAGCTGCGAATTGCTTGCTGCTGGAACGCTGCAGCTTGGATACTGCTTCTGCTGGGAAAATGGTAGAGAAGAGCAGAGCAAGAGGAACAGGTAGAGGTTTGGAAGAGGTAGAGGCAGTGGTTATTGGGCTTGTTTCAGCAAGTAATTGGTTTAACTTCTTTTTACAGTTAAGTTTGCCTAACTCTAAATGTATAATACTGTGTTATCCTTCTATTGAATGTGAGTGTTGTAACTAACTACACTTTAACTTTGCAGAGTGAAGAGGACAAAAATCACAGGATTATTAGCACCGGAAACTAAACTAAGAAGACCAAGCTTCAACAGCAGGAATGCTTACCAACCAAGGAAGTGCCGCTTGAGGTAGGTAAATACGGGAACAAAAAGCCACAAGCACAAGACAACTTCAAAGAAATGTAGCATCAAAACACAAATTCTTAGTCAAGCTAGTTCATCATCTCAAACCAACCAAGAAAGCAGGAAAAAAGGAAAATGACAAGACTTGTTTGTTGCTTAGGCTTTATATTTTGTTAATGTATTGCAGCTTGATAACAAGTGTTATGTTTGTAAAGATGTTTGCTATGGACAACCAAAGTAAAGTGCCTATAGTTTTGTGTAGTGTTGCTATGGTCAACCAAGTATACTATATTTTGTAAAGAAATGCTTATCAGAATTAAGGTGCTCCACCTAGATGAACGTCTATTTTGTGGAAATGAAAGTATATTTAGGTCTTGAAATCGTTTAGCTGCTTCACAATTCTACCAATCTTAAGTCTATGTTTGTGGAAATGAAGTCTATTTCTGTACTGCTTTGCTTTGGTTATAACAAATTCTACATTTGCCATGTTTTCGTTCCCAAAGCTAAATAGAGAGGTAACACTCAAATATATCAGGAATGTAACACCAGCTTTACTACAAAATAGGGGTTGACCCTCATTAGAAAAACAAAGCTCAATGAGCCAAAACATGAAGACCCAATACATGGTATATCATTACCACTATTAGCAGTGTTGAGAACTACCAAATAACAATGGCCTTAATGAAGATTAATCCTAAAAATCAGAAAAAAAAAAGCCTCCCTCAGTTCCACTAATTTTCCTGGATGTCCTGCAAATGGCCTTTCCAAGCTGATTCTTTCTTCTTAAGCAAACCCAAAAATCACCGGCTTCAGTGCTTCATGAGTTGGGGGTCAAAACTCATGCGAAATACTTGCAGCCAATTGACTATCTTTCTGCCAAATCCATAAACCAATTTGAGAAGAGCTTTATAAAATCTTGAAAAATCGACACTATAACGCCATATGTAAGATTACCTCGTAAGTTTTTACAGCCATGGGAATCGAGACCCAGGATTGTCGTTGTCCATGAAATTACTAGTTCAGCAGCATCTTCTACATCGACAAAATGAGACCCGAACTTCTCCGTTCAATAAGAACCCTAATGAAGAGAATTGAGCAGAAGAATGTAATGTAATGCACTTAATTTTACCAAAATATTAACCAGCTCTCAATATTAGTTGTGGCAAGCGTTGAAGAAGAAGATTGTTTGGTTCAGAAACATTGTTTGGTTCCTTTAAAGTAAGAAGAAGATGAAATAAGAGGGAGATTGAAGAATTGGGGCAGAAAATGGCTTAGGGTTAAAGAAAATGGTACCCAAATTTTAGTAAATGCCGTTGTAATTAGTTCAGTGAGAGCAGAAAGTAACTATTCACGCGGCCCACGTCGGTCAGTGTTTCAAACAACCGGGCCCCCAGAAGGCTGTGATTCCAAAGTAGTGTGTAATTGACACACTTTAAAAAGGTTTAGGTGTTGTATAAAATAAAACCGCGTGTTCAAACAGGTGTGTAAGAGGATTTTGGTTCTACAGTTATGATGGGCTAGATTTATGTATTTTGCCTATACCTAAAAGAAAATTATATAGGAAAATATATATACATAACATACTATATATAATATATACATAAAATTACAAATTTTTAAAAGGAGCCCACCCCAATGACCATATATATATATATATATTATATATTATATAATATATATATATATATATATTATATAATTATTATATTATATATAAAAACATATAAACATTTACAAGATTTTTCAAAGGAGGGCCCCACCCCAATGACCATTGCCAACGGTCATATTGCACAAATAGCCTATTTTTTTTTCTTTTTCAATGTACAAACTAACCTTCTCTAAAACTATAAATACCCCTCCCCCTCCCTCTTCTTTCATTTCAATACTCAATACTTATTTCTCAATCTAAATTTCTCTCATTCTCTCAATCTCCAATTTTCAAGGCTTCAAGTCTCAATCTCAAATTTCAAGTTAAATCATGCCTCGTTCGGAAAGAGTGCGCTTATTTGTTTCGCAACACTTTGAAGTGCTTGAAGAAAATGAAGAAGGCCAAATATTAAAGTGCAAGAACTGTGGTAGAGTCTTAAATTTTCGTTCAGGATGTACCACAGGCATTTTAAGGAGGCATATAAAGTATTGTCTTGAGCGTATTTATCCGGAAATTCGTATTTAAGATTTTTCGATAATTTGTGTTATTTTAAAATTATTAGACGTATTTATGCTTAATGTTTTACTTTGTTATTAATTTATTATGCATGATAATTTAGTTTTACTATTGTTTTGTTATTTTACTTTTTCTTCAAGCACTTTAATAATTAGGTTTCTATATTATATATACTACATATATTTATATAGCCATGTATAAGAAAGCAATTTATATTAGTATATACATATATGGTTTACAAGAAATTGCCTTAAACAAAAAAAATTTAAAAAAAATAGCCCGGAAATAAAAAAGCCCGTTAGGCCCGTGAGCCCGGCCCATTTAGCCCAGGACCATGTGGGCTTAGGCTCGTCATGGGCTGGTTCCACCCGTTGAGCCCATGAAGCCCGGGACCGTGAAGCTCGGGACCGCTAGAGCCTAGCCCGCTTGAGCCCGGCCCATTTAGGCCCTGGCCCGGCCCAGAATACAGCATTAATTCCACCCATCATTGTGGTGTATGGTTGGGTGCGCTTGGTGGTTGAGCATAGATCACTAGGTTTGAGGGGAATTGAGGTGGAAGATTTGGTAGATTGTTCATTGTTGGATTTCGAGAGAGATGAATCAGCTGTATCAATTAAAATCTTCTCCTTAATGTGAGTGGAGGTCTTGGCATTTTGGTGGAGTTGGTTGTTTATATGAGAAGTGGTGGGAAGGTGATTGGGGGGTTGCTAATAATTGCCTCTATTTGTATAGCTTGGGCAGATTTTTGCGTGAGGTTTATATCCAAATCCTGCATGGATATGTCCTCCGCCACTTGGATGCTTTTGTTTTCCAAGTGTTTGAGAGAGGATTCGTTATGAGAGGTGGAACATGCATGGTGACTTTGAATGTAATTATTATTAGTTTTGTAATTATTGTCAGTAGAGTAATTGATTTGTTCTTAGCTTGCCGGATTGGTTATTGTGTGGATTGTGTCCAATTCCATTGTATTAAGCAAAAGATTTTGCTTATTAAACATGCCCGGACAATGTGCCACGTCTGTGACATTTGTAAGAAGGATAGCTTGTGTTTCATGCAGATTTTTGTTTTTTTGAATTTTTTTGTTTTCCTCTTTTCCCAAAACCTTGTGCTGCTTAGCTGGTTTAGCAAGACTGCTTTCACCTTTATCATTAGGTTTAGCAACTTGAGTTTTGTCGACGATGGTTGGTTCATTACTAGGATCAGATTGAAATGTGCTTACTAAATTGTTTGGAATATTAGTTAGAAACTGTTTGTTAATATAACTTAAAGGCTGGGTATTGAGATACTTACCTGACACAGCATCATACATTCGAACATTTATACCTGGGATATGTTTGTACCAGCCTTTTCCTTCTGTTGATTGGTTGCCTTAGATTTGCCCTTTTTAGGAAAGGAGACTGTCATCCATTCCCCTGCTTGATCAGTCTTGGACAGTGGTGGCTCAATATCAGATTGGTCTGCCTTTTGTTTAGTTGGTAAAGTGGCTTGTGAGCATCGCAGACTTGTGTGTCCCAGCTTGCCACATGCTTTGCATAGAATATCATCACCTTCATATAAAATGAGTTGTTTATGTTGGCCAATTAGGAGGTAGTTTTGTACTGGTTGCTCCGGAGGCAACTCCACACACAGCCTGACATATCTCCCCCTTAATGTAGCAGAGGTGCATGCATCTACTTTGAGCAATTTGCCAATGCAGTTGCCAATTCTTGATAGTATAATTCCATCATAAAATTCCGTGGGTAGTTGTGGTAGACGTACCCATACAGTTGTATAGCTTTGATGAGCTTCTTTGGCTATAAAATTTGGCACCCATTTTTGGATTGAAAGAAAGAAGCCATTGATGAACCAGGGTCCATTATGTAGTATTTTTGTCATATTTTCCTCCCTAGCCAACTTGACTGTGTAGTAGTCTTCTCCAAGATCGATGATGTGACGACCCAACCCGTCGTCTCATGTATTACAGCCCCGTTTCCCCCATTTATTGCTCTTTCATGTTTTATTATCAGCAACGGGTGAGTTAGAGTTGAATTTAATTGGTTTGGATAGGAAATGAGACACTTAGTCTCTTTAAGGAATGTTTGGTTTGGAAAAGTCAACTGAATGTTGACTTATTGGTTAGAAGGCTCGGATGTGAATTCCGGTCACTCGGTTAGCTTCGGGAGGTGATTTGTGACTTAGGAGTGCGATCGGAAGTGATTTTGGAGGTCCGGAGTAGAATTAGGCTTGAATTGGCAAAGTTGGCATTTTGGCGAATTCCGGTGGATAGGTGAGATTTTGATCCGAGGGTCGGAATGGAATTCCGAGAGTTGCACTAGCTCCGTTAGGTGATTTTGGATATGTGTGCAAAATTTCAGGTCATTCGGAGGTGTTTTGTTCAGGTTTTTGATCGAATGCGCAATTCGGAAGTTTTTAAGAAACTTAGGCTTTGATATGAGGATAATTGAGGATTTTGATGTTAACGATAGTGTTTTGATGGTTTGAGCGAGTTTGAATAAGGTAATAGATCATGTCTGTGCTTTTGGTTGAGGTCCCGGGGGCCTCAGAGTGAGTTCGGGTGTTTAAACGTGAGTTTTGAAGTTTGCTTCAGGTCTGTTGTTGCTGTCATCTGGTATTTCCGCTTCTGCGGAAATGGACCGCAGAAGCGGTTTTGCAGAAGCGAGTGGTGGATCGCATAAGCGGTTCATGGCCTGGTGGAGTGTTTCCGCAGAAGCGGAACATTTTTCGCAAATGCGAGTCCGCAGAAGCGGACTATAAATCGCAGAAGCGGTCTTGGGTGGTTCGCAGAAGCGGATGAGGAGACGCAAAAGAGGACGTTGGGTTTTTAATGAAAATCCGCAAAAGCGGGATGTTGGCCGCAGAAGCGGTCCCGCATAAGCGGAAACGGGACCGCAGAAGCGAAATCAACTGTTGACAGAAGGGTTTAAAATATTATATTTCATCCGCGAACAAGAGGTAGTTTCCACCATTTTTAAGCGACTTGGAGAGCTTTGGGCGAGAAATTTCGAGGGTTTTGACTGAGAATCGATTGGAGGTAAGTTCCTTGGCTTAATTACTTGAGTTTATGGTAAATTTATCATAGAAATCAGTGGAAATTCATCAAAACGGGTCAAGCTAGGGCTTGAAAAGTTGTGATGTAAAAACGGATTTTGAAAGGGCATTTGAACTCCGATTTTGGTAAAATTGGTATGTGTAGACTCGTGGCGAGACGAGGAATCCAGTGATGTAAATGTTGTAATTTTTTGAGAAGTGGGCCCGGGGCTCGGGTTTTGCCAACTTAGTGAATTTTGGTGTTTTTCGAGTCTTTTCGATTGGGTTATGTTTCTTTAGCCTATTGTAATGTATTCGTTGTGGTTTTAATCAGATTCGACATGCGAAGAGGTTGATTCGAAAGGCAAAGGCGTAGCGAGCTAGACTTGTGGCCGGCTTGAGGTGAGTAATAGATGTAGATGATGACCTGAGGGTTTGAAACCCCGGTATATCACATTGTGACGCTATATTGAGGCGAGACACGTACTCTATGACGAGTGCGGGGTCGATTGTGACTGGGGATTGTGACCTAGTCCGTTCCGATTGATGTTCGTATTGTGTTCTTGACTAGAATTGTTTGGTAATCATCCTACTTGGATTTTATGAACATGTTCGGGGCTTTGTGCCTATCATTTGCATCCTTCAGGGATCCTTATCACCACTTCCATGATGCTTAGCATATTTCATGATATCAGTCCTGAGTTAGACACTGCGTCGAAATGTTTAGTAAATAAATAAAGGTTTAAACACTTAGCTCTATAATTCCTAATAATTGAAACTAAAAATGAACAATTTAACTATGCCCGAGTGGCTTGCATGCATATATATATATGGACTGGGTGTGGATCGGGCTGCACGCCGCAGCGAATGCTACGATGATATTGCGCTTGGGCTGTAGGAGCCCCTCCGGAGTCTGAACCCCCGACAGTGAGCGCGGGTACCCAAATGGATCGGGCTGCGCGCCGCAGCGGTCATGTGCATT